ACTCCCTCTTTTGTACATAATTTACAGTATCTCTGATTTTGGTCATTTTCAAATGAAATAAGGAGATTTATCAGGAGATTAAAGTGTGTTTGGGTGTATTCGTGAGTGCATTCATGTGAATATCTCTGCTTTTTTAGATTTACATTTGTGTATTTTATAACCTACTTTGTCAAATTATAATTATATTTATCTTTTATTTGCCGGATGAACATGCATAATTGAACCATTGCTTCAATACAAGTACTATCGGAAGATCGGACTATTCAAAAAGTTATAACTAGTAGGATTAGAATATACTTAATGACTTGCTTATTATTTTTCTTACTAAGTACAAACATATGTAGAAGTATTTAGTTCTTTGGAATATCAATCTTATATTGACCTTTGCAAATTTATATAATTCTTAATATAAATATTTGTGAAAAATTTCTAAAAGAAAAGTGTATTGTGTATATAGCAGCTATTCACAAATTGTTACTAAAAGTGTAGAAAATATTTGTATAAAATTTCTAAAAAGAAAATGTGTATTATGTATGTAGCAACAACTCACAAATTGTTGCTAAAGGTATATAATAAATATGTTTATTATAATAAAAATTATTGTTGCTAAAAGCCTTCCTAACACATTACTAACTAACTTTTTGTCAATTTTTTACAACAACTGATATTGTTGATAAAAAAGATAATTTGTGGCAACACTAAATTTTGTTGGGAAATTTTTTATAAGCCATGACTATATTAATGTAAGGCAACAATTATTTTGGTTGCAATAAGTTAGTTTTTGGCATCAATATATTTTGTTGTTGCAAGAACTTTTCGCATCAACGTTTATTGCAACAACATGCAACAACTTTTATATTGTTGCCAAAAGTACTTTTTGCAACAACAACCTATATATAGCAACAAAAATAATTGTTGGGAAATCCCTTTTTTGTTGTAGTGCTAGTTGGCCCTAACAGCTAAAACAACCCATTTTCAAGGTCAAACGAGCCCCGGAGCAGGTAAACTCCCCATTTTGCTAATTTTCATGTGCTACGGAATTTCGACCTTATTTTTGCTGAATTTTTTCATGGATATCCGTTAAGACCTTAGCTATGGAGCTAGTTGGCCCTCACGACCAAAACGTCCCATTTTCAAGGTCAAACGAGCCCCAAAGCAGGTAAACCCCCCTATTTTGCCGATTATCGGTGTGCTATAATCCATGGATTTTTTGATGATTCAGAATTCTGACATCATTTTTGCCAAAAAATTTCATGGACGTCCGTTAAGACCTTAGTTAGGGAGCCAGTTGTCCCTCTCTGCCAAAACGGCTCATTTTCAAGGCCAAACGAACCCCAGAGCAGGTAAATCCCACATTTTGTGGATTTTCGTGTGATATAGTTCACCATCTTTTTTGGTGATCCGGAATTTCGACCTCATTTTTATCAAAATATTTCATGGACATCCGTTAAGACCTTAGATATGGAGCCAGTTGGCCCTCACGGTCCAAACGACCCATTTTCAAGGTTAAACAATTCCCGAAGCAGGTAAACCCCCCATTTTGCCGATTTTCGTGTGTTATAGTCCATGGATTTTTTGGTGATCCAGAATTCCAACCTCATTTTTGCTGAATTTTTTCATGGACATTCGTTAAGACATTAGCTATGGAGCTAGTTGGCCCTCACGGCCAAAACGTTCTATTTTGAAGGTCAAATGTGTCGTGGAACAGGTAAACCCCCCCATTTTGCCGATTTTCGTTTGCTATAGTCCATAGATTTTTTGGTGATCCAAAATTTTGACCTCATTTTTTCCAAAATTTTTCATGGACCCATTAAGACCTTAGCTATGGAGCCAAGGAGCCAGTTAGCCCTCACTGCCAAAACGTCCCATTATGAAGGACAAATGTGCCCCAAGAGCAGGTAAACCCCTTATTTTACCAATTTTCGTGTGCTATAGTCCATGGATTTTTTGGTAATCCGAAATTCTGATTTTCGTGTGCTATAGTCCATGGATTTTTTGGTAATTCGAAATTCTGACCTCATTTTTGCCGAAATTTTTCATGGACGTCCGTTAGGACCTTAGCTATGGATCCAGTTGGAGTTAAGACCTTAGATATGGAGCCAGTTGGCCCTCACGGTCCAAACGACCCATTTTCAAGGTTAAACAATTCCCGAAGCAGGTAAACCCCCCATTTTGCCGATTTTCGTTTGCTATAGTCCATAGATTTTTTGGTGATCCAAAATTTTGACCTCATTTTTTCCAAAATTTTTCATGGACCCATTAAGACCTTAGCTATGGAGCCAATTAGCTCTCAAGGCC